ATTTACCTCTTCCTCCTCATTTCCTTGGCGATATTGTTCTAAAAAAAATATAGAAGAATGGTTAACAAAGCTGGCAATGAACTCAAGAGTAAGGCTGGGTACTGTCCCCCTGGATCTCATGGTCAGAGATAAACCAGGAGGGGATGGGTCTGGGCAAACACAGAGGATGTTTCTTGACAGTGGCACTGAGCACCCAGAACTTGGGAAGTTGATGGGAGAATGAAGCCACATCTGAGAGAGGAGAAATTGGCCTTGCACTGCTTAGGAGCAGACCTCCTCTTTGTTATCCATAGAAACCTGCCCCCTCCCCACAGCTCTCAGGACCCCACATCAGCCCCTCACACCCCAGTGGAAGGAGCTGCCAAGGACTGAGGTCCCTGTTTCCCACGGTGTCAGCGGGGCTGGGTCGGGGCCGCTCACCGCGCACATCGTTCAGCAGATAGTCCAGATGCAACAAAAACTTCTTTTTCTGGGCTTCATACTGGGTCATCAGCCTGTCATTCAGCTGCACTGCCTCCACCTTCACATCCTCAGTGACCAGATCCAGACTCGCAATCCTAGGGCACAGAGAATCACTGCACCAAGGAAAACCATCCAGCATCCAAAGGTACCAGAATTCTTCACTAGGACAGTCTGCAAAGAGGAGAGGGCTTTGGCAACATGAATTATTGGGTTAACAGCCCTTTGTGAAGGTTGAATTCCAACTCCTACATACTGTTATTTATTTGGCAATGCCTTATGCTGACCAACCTGCACTGGAACTTTCAAATGCTGATAATGAGAGAGGAGGAGGTTTTGATAATCCCCATGTGTGAACAGGGCCTTGACTTGCTGCAGGCAGGCTCTTACTGATGTAGCAATGCCAGAACAAGAATCCAAAACGTATTAAATGGTGTCCAGGTTTCTGGAAAATTATCTTTATCCCACAGGCTAGGATGTGACTTGCAGCACAGCTGGGAGTAACAGACCCAGCTGCAGCCCTGAGGCACAAGGTGATTCCAAGCTCTCCTTACAACCTGAGTTTGAGCTCAGCTTTAATCTGTGCAAGTTTCCGAGGTGACACCTCAAATTCCAGGTAGATGTTTGAGCCAGCCCTTCATGCAGCTGGGGCCTGCAGAGCTGCTGCAAAGGCTCTCCTGGATCTGGAACTGTTGGTGTGCTGTTGCACCACTGAATTACAGCTGACACCCAGGCACCACATAGGAAGTGGTAAGTTATAAATTAAAGATAATAATTAATCTTTCTAGCTACCAAGCTTGTCCACAACTCAGACTTGCTGGGAAATGAGCTGGTAATCTCTGCTGCCCAAGGCTGTTCCCTGGGAACTCAGATGAGGGAGTCACCAATGTGCATCCAGGACAGTGTTACTGTAAACTGAACCCCAGGGGCTTCATCCCTGATAAAAAGTTTTCTGGTAATAAAAGCCAGTGGTTTCTATGAGAATCCGCCAGAAAACCGAAATTTAAAGGAACAAGTGTAACAGCAGGCAGGGATTTCTCCATCCACGCTTGTGTGGATGTGGTGCCCTCTGGCTCAGCTGGATTATGGAGCAGCTTTGCAGCATAGGGTGGTGGGGTTTGATCCCAGTTATCAACACCACATTTTTTCAAGGAAGAAAAGAAATGTTATGAAGTGGAACATACCTGTCTGTGACTTCTTTCAGATCCTACCAAGAGGATTGGAGGATTATTAAAAAAAGAAAAAAGAAAAAAGAGAAAGAAAAAAGAAGAGGTATCATTAGTGTGATTTTCAGAAAGGTCACCTGGCTGAGAAATAGGCAGATCCACAAAGAAATGCAGAATACCACTGCTTACTTTGAAGAAGAGGAAAATATCTGGTTGCTCTTTTATCATCTGCAAAGCCTGAAGATTCTGCTCAGCCTGGTCTCTCTTCTGTTGCATTTCCTTCCTTGCGTTGGTGACAACTGCCAGGTTTTCTTCCTCATAAGACTGAATGTCACGCAGGATCATCCTGTGTTTCTTATCAAGCTCTGCCCTTATACTTTTAAACAGCTGTTTTAGGTCAGAAGTCAGTGTTTTGGTATCGTTCTAAATGAAGAGATGAGAAAAAGGGGCACTGGCTCAGAAACTCCACCCTTCAGTTTAGTGCCTCTGCTTATCAATTAGGATTCTATCTGTCCTTGATGCTGGCTTTAGAAGGAAGCAGACAATAAACATTTGCTTGGAATATCTGATTCAACAGACGCTTTTCAAAATTAATCCTGATATAGTAAGTCAGATGTATCAAGTCAGATGAATTTCTTGAATGGAATACCAATGTGAGAGCTTACTGATACACACCAGAAATCCCACTTGTAGATATAAATTGCTTTTCTTTTATTAAACAGGTAGAAATCTTTAAGAATACATAATCTTATGTACAGTCTGTGGGCTGCCAGTCCTGCAACCTGGTCTGTGCAACCACAATACAGGGTGGAATCCCCCAGCTGGTTCCTCCTGTGGAGGAGCTGGAAGGCTGCAATGAAGCTTGGCTTCTGGCAGTTTCTCAAACCACTCTTTTCCCTGTCTATTCATCTGCTTCTAACAGTATAGTTTCCATCACTTATTGCTGGGAAACTGTGAAGGAAAGATGCTATGAATTAGCAATAATCTGGATACTAACCTTGATCTGATTCTCGGTTTCCTGAAGCTCTTCTAGGGCAGTAACTAAATCACTTTTAGATTCCTGCAGGTCTGTCATGGTGCTGGAGAGTTTAACCTGGCAGAAGGAAAGACAGCACTGAACTTCCCAGCAGGAACAGCTTCAAACCAGACGGCCAGTTTGTGGAGCTGGTGAAATGGCCATTGTCTCACACATCCCACTTCTGCTTGGCAGCCCTGAAATTCTGATACGTAACTTGGGGGAGGAGGTTAGTTTGCATATAGTTCATAAAACTGCAAAGGATGCTTCTGCTAATTCCTGAGGAGGCTGTGACCTGTCCTGAGGTCCAGAGGGAGCCATTTCCTGCCCATGCACTGGGTTCCTGCAGGGCTTTTGCTTGGGCTCTAAACTGAGCCCAGATATTTCAAACACAAGGCAGTGAGTGAGCACAGGGAATGCATTTACTCCCCTCAGTCTCAGCTGATTCGGGAGCATTTCAAGGACAGCAGCTGGACTCAGAGGCAGGAATATGGAGACCCCATGTCTCTTGTATCTACTGGGACACTGGCTCCACAAAATTTGTGGCAGAGGGAGGAATGCCAGAATCACTGAAATTGGAGAAGACCTCCAAGGTCATCGAGTTCAACCTGTGACCAATCCCCACCTTGTCACGCAGCCCAGAGCACTGAGTGCCACGTCCAGTCGTTCCCTGGATGCCGCCAGGAATGGGACTCCACCACCTCCCTGGGCAGCCCCTTCCAATGTTTAACAACCCTCTCAGTGAAGAAATTCCTCCTTATGTCCAACCTGAACCTCCCCGGCAAAACTTGAGACTGCCTCCCCTCATCCTGTCACTGGTTATTGGGGAGCAGAGCCTGATCCCACCGTGCTACATAGACTGAGCCTAAGGGAAGGACCTCGATGCGGAAACGCCCTTCCCCACCCAAAGTTCAACATCATGGCATTCCCCAGGCTCTGTGGAGGAAGGGATTTTCTAATCCCTGCAGGAATACTTCTCAGTTCCAGCCAGGAACAGCGCAGAGGGCGGCTGGCAGCGCCGGGGCTGCTGAGGGGAAGCGGAGCCGCTCGCTGAGGGGAGCCGCCCTGAGGGACCCCCACACCCTGAGGCACTGAGCCACGCTTATCCCGGCCACCCCACAACACCATTCCCCGCTCTTCTCCCTCTGCTTAGCTGTTCACACTGTTCTGGCAACACACCGGAGGGAATGAAAAGCAAATTCCAGCACAATGCACCAGTCCCTTGCTGGGAGAGAGAAATTTCCCGGGGCAGCCCTCACATCCATCCCCACTCCCTGTGGAAGCCCTACCGCCCTTCCTGCGGCTTTCCCCCGTCCTCGCGGCCAGGGAAGGGGCCATGGGCAGGGAAGAGCTCCCTACCAGCTCTTTGTCGTGTCCCTCCTTCAGGGTGATGACCTCGTGGCCCTTATGGGCCCCAGCCATGGAGCAGAGCACGCAGATGCACTCCTCCTCCCTCAGGCAGTAGCATTCCAGCAGCTTGCCGTGATGCCGGCACCTCCTCTCCTCCGCCTTGCCTGCTCCCACCTCCACCAGGACATGTTCTTGATGGAAATCCCTGGCGTTGTGTTTGCTCAGGTGGGCCTGGCACAAGGACACCTCGCAAATCAGGCAGGTTTTCACAGCTGGCTGGGGTCCATCCAGGCACTGCTCACAGGGAACCACGTCTGTTTTCCCCTTCTCGGTGCCTTCGTCCTGCTGGAGGCTTTCTCTTCGAGCCTGTTGTCCTTTGGAAGTGGTGGCCTTAAATGCCTCCACGATGCTGCGCAGCTTGAAGTTGTTGTGTAGCTCCAGGGTGACACCCAGGTCGGCCATGCATGTGGGGCAGGTCCAGAGGCACTGCGAGTACAGCGCCTCCTCAATGCACAGCCGGCAGAAGCTGTGGCCGCAGCTCAGCGACATCGGCTCCCGGTACAGCTCCAGGCAGATGGGGCAGGTGAGCTCGGCCCTCAGGCTGCCAGCCCCTACGCATCCCTCCCCAGCTTCGGCCATGGCTGCAGCAAGCGCGCAGAACCGAAACTAAAACCAGATGCAGGCACCCGGCCAAGGGTCTCGCCAGCCCTCCTCTCCAAGCCCTCCCCTTCCAGGCCTGGCAGAGAAATGTTCCCTCTGCCGGCTCCACCCTTTCCTACACTGCGGCAGCCGCTTCGGCAAGTTTCCCCTCAGTGTCCAGCAGGGAATGCTGCCCAGTCTCTCCTCACCTCCCAGGGCAGCTTTGCGTCTGCACTGGATGTGCAGGATGGAAAAGAGACGGCAGAGATCAAAGATCAAGCCTTAGATCAAAGATCAGTATCGCTGCTGCCTAGTTCTGTAGCAGTTAATGTTGAGCTGTCAGCTTTTAGATAAAATAAATTGCCATCGTGTTTAACAAGCTGGTAATATGACTTTATTAACATGAACCCAACACAGTATTTGAAACAGCTGAGCAAAAAACGAGCAACTTAATGGTATTTCCATTATGATGAACAGAACAAATAAGACAGGAGCTCTTGCAGGAAGAGGCAGGGTGCTGTGATATACCCCCTCACAGCAGCCCACAATCGAGTTTATGACATGCCAGCTTAGCACAGCTTCCGTGCAAGGCTCACAATTTCTAGGCATGGAAATACAAAACAGCACCGTGTCCCCACATTACTACAGGAGCTTCAACACACTGATAGCAGCATGGATGGGATACTTGAAAGGGATGGTTCCAGTCTCTATAAACCTGAAGTTCTTAGCAGGATGTCCAGCCTTGACAGACACATCATGAAAAAAGTGTTTCTTCTACCGTTGATATCTTCGACCCAAGGAGCAGAGAGGAGCATTCAAACCAGGCACAAACAATTCCAAGCTTCCAGCAGCTCTCATTGCTGGTATCCTCCTCCCAGCAGCTCTGGGATGGCACTGTGTGTATTGGAGTCCTGTCCCAGTTTGGGCTGGGATTCATTCTAATCATGAGAACTTCATTCCTGAGAATTCATTATCTTCTCAGCAGCTGGTGCAGTTCAGCAGGGAACAATGTTGGTAACACAACGATGGTTTGCCTGTGGCTGGGCAGTGTACACGTGAGCCAAGGAGCTTTCTGTGCCTCATGCTCTGCCAGCAAGGAGGTGCACAAAAAGCATAGCTGGGGCTGGTGACCCAAACTGGCCAAAGGGATATTCCACACCACAGAACACCATGCCCAGTGTATGAACTGGGGGGAGATGGCCACAAAGAGCCAATTGCTGCTCAGGAACAGTGGTTGCACATCAGAAAGCAGGTGATGGGGGAGCAATTGTGCTGTGCATTGATAGTTTTGGTTGGGCTTTCTCTCTCTCTTCTCTCTTTTCTATGACTGTTAGCATTATGGTTGCCAATGAATTTATATTTCATTAGGCTAGTTGTAAGGAAAACTAAAGGTAGGTCCGTATGTGGATCCATGGTATGTTGTACCACCACCAAATGAGAAGGGACCTAAAGAGAAAAAACACATTACGATTACCAGATAATTGTGGAGGTTTGGAATCTGTCTCTGTCCTGACCCGAGGCCCGCTGCCAGCAAGGGCTGAAGCAACATCCAGAGGGCAGTACCTAGGGAACCCTAATTTCACCAATTCAGTCAGACAAGTATCCACTGTGCACAGCTCTGGCACTGTAGGCTAAGCTTACAAAGCATTGCAAAAGAGTAGAAGTATTTACACAGGAAGAGTAGGTTACTTATGGAAGAGTAGGTTACTTATGTCCGACCCTGACACTGCTGGGATGAGTTCTCAACATCCCTTTGAATCAAAGGGATGCCACAGAGGTATTCTATTGTCTTCTCTTAAACCTCCCACAAAACTCCTGGGACTTCCCAGTCTCTTCATCCATAGCCTGGTTTAGCAAGGTGCATTCAAGGCACACCCCAAAGCCCTGAACGCCAGGACCAGCTCCCTTTGCTGCACACATGTGTGCAAGTAAGCACACAGTGTAAGGAATTAGCACTTCTAGAGGTACTCAGTGCACTTGGTGCCTCATTACAGTCCTTTCTTACAGCATGTTTTATTGACTTCTCCATCTTGCTTTTGACATGGTGAAATGAGCACTTACCTTTAGGTGCTACCTGTACCCAAGGCTGCCTAAAGGAGACCTCCATGTCTGAGATGAATTTCTGGAAAAGCCTCATAATATTATCTGTTTTTGGTTTTTCCAAAGTAATGGGTGGCCTTGGCAGACCTTTCCTTTTAGGAAGGGGCTGGCATTTCCTAAAACACACAGAAGGAATCACAGAACCACAGAATCACAGGAAAAGCTGAGACAGCCCAGGTGCCTCTTGCCCACCTGGGCACACCTGGGCTCATGTTCAGCCAACAGTGAACAGCATTCCCAGTTTCTTTCCTGCCAGGCAGCTTTCCTGTCACTGTTCCCCAGCCTGGAGCTGCACGAGATTGTTGTGACCACAGTGCAGGACCTGGCCCTTTGGCTCACTGCACCTCCCACTGCAGCCCTTGGCCCGTGGATCCCGCCTGTCCTGATCCCCCTGCAGAGCTTCCTGCCCTCCAGCACAGCCCCACTCCTGCCTGCCCGGGCTGTGTGTGAACTCACTGACAGCGCGCTCCGTCCCTCGTCCATGGCACCAATAAAGACATTGAACCTCAGCAAGAGCTTACCTGCCTCTGATCGCCGAAAAAGCCTGCAAAGACATTTTGGGAGCAGAATCAGCACAGTGCAGGCACAGGCCAGCCCTGCAGCTCTGTGTCTCTGGGAAGGGGGATGCTGACAGGTACCTTGGTGAAAAGCAGTGTGTCCTTCTGATTTCCCAGAGCCTCCAGCCTCCGAACATCCTGGCTGGCTGAATCCTTCAACCTCTTGTGATTATTAATCTCTCTCTGAATCTCAGAAAGTTGTTTCCCCTCGTAGTCACTGAGAACTTCCAGGACCTCTCCTTTTTTCTTCTCCAGCTCCTTATAGATGTCATTGAACAGGCTTTCCAGCTGTTCCCTCCTCTGGCTCTCATCAGTCTATTAAGAAAACAATTTCAAATTTGTAAGGGACATTTTCCACACTACCTCTTACTCAGGAAAAAAAACCTATCTTTTTTTCTGGGATGAGGCATGTAACTAAAAGTTGAAGGTTGGAAAAATCAAAAAGCCACACACCAGCCACTCATTAGGAGGCACAGCCTCTCAAGCTTAACTAAGAATGGACCTCCCAGACTGATAAGAAAGTTCTGCATCATCCTTCCTCAAAGGAGAAATCTCAAAAATACATGAGAAACCACCCAGGAACTAACAAAGCTTGAGAATCCACGATCTGGGGAAGGGCAAAAGAAAACTTTATCTCATTATTTACCACTGAGCAAGCACCACAAGGTGATAGAGGACCTTGAAACAAACCTTTAGTCTCTCTTTTTGTTCCAGCAGATTTGCTATGGCTTTGTCCACGGCAGCTTCATGGTTTTTCACTGATTCCAGTATTCCAGGGAAAGATACCTACAAATACCACGGGAAGGAGATATCAGGAGAGGACTGCCATAGTGCACGAGATCAGCAGTTTTATCCACAGGGGTTAAGCTAGACTTGCAAAAGGTCTGCTCACTGCATGCTCTCAGGACAAAGCAGCAGATAAAGGTTCACTGGAAGGTTTTCTCCCTGAACAAATGCCACAATTACAAGCACAAAAAGGACAATTTGAAGCTGAAAACTCTTCATGTGCACTAGCCATATATCAAGCTACTTCCCCTGTTGGCACCTTTCTTTCTGTTACTCTGTCATTAATTATCTTTGCATAAGTGCAGCTCAGGCTCAGCTCTGCCTTGGAGGTGCACCAAGGACTAAAACCTTGCAGGAGCACTCACTCCCACCAGTCTGGCCAAACTCCTCCCTCAGGAGGGGAAAAACGCGGTTATAACATCTTGTTTTATATCCCAAGGGCCAAAGCCGGAGAGAACCTGGGACAAAACAAAGAATGAAAGCCCAGGAGCGCAACTTAGCCCCATGCTGGGTGCGCAGTTCCCAAGCTCAGGAGCTGCCCCTGTGCCGTGGCAGCTCTCTGGGGTTTTCCTGGCGCAGTCCAGGCCAGTGCCACCGTCCCAGCAGCCTCTTACCTGCGCCTCGCTGAAAGCCTCCTCCAAGCTGATGATGCTGTGGTTCTTGTGGGAGATGACGGAGCACAGGACGCAGATGCAGGCCGAGTCGTTCTGGCAGAAGCACTCCAGCAGTTTGCCGTGCTGGGCGCATCTCCTCTCGGCCAGCAGCCGGCCGTCGCAGGGCTCCACCAGCACATGGCTCTTCTGCCCGTCCTTACTGTTGTGCCTGCTCAGGTGCCCTTGGCACAGCGAGGCTTCGCAGCTCAGGCACGTCTTCACCGCGGGCTGCGGCTCCTGGAGGCAGAAATCGCACGGCACCACCTCCGCTGCCTGGCCCGAGCTTTCCGCCTTGCCCTCGCCTTGCCCGTCCTGCTTCTCCTGCTCGTGGTGCGCGGGAGCGTCCAGGACCCTCTGCACGATGTTGCGGAGGTGGAAGTTGGGCCGCAGCTCGCCCACGGGCGAGTGGCAGAGCGGGCAGCGGGCAGGGCTCTGCTGGCCCCGCAGCGCCTGCTTGACGCACTCCTTGCAGAAGCTGTGGCTGCAGTCCACGATCGTGGGGTCCCTGAAGATGTCCAGGCAGATGGGACACGTCAGCTCCTCCTTCAGCCCGGCCATAGCCTTCGCCTGGGCCATGGCGGCAGCTCGGGGCAGGGCCGAGAGGGAGGGCTCTGCCGGGAAACGAAACCGAACGCGAGCGGCCACAGGGAGCGAAGTTCACCCCGCGGGCTCAAGGCTGCTGCCTCCTCCCCCCTGCAAGGGAGGGTGTGCCGTGTCTTCTTTCCAGCTTCCTTCCTCCCGGGGCCGCGTGGCCAGGGCCTGTGCCTGAGTCGGTATTGACAAAAAAAGTTGTAACAAGCCGTGTTTATTGAAATGTTGGGAATTCCTTTCGGTTCGCCGGCCGGGGCTTTGTGCTGCGTGCAGCCGTAAGGAGTGTGAGCCTGAGCAATGCCGGTATCAATGTCTTGGTCAGATCACAGTGTGAACACGTTCACTCTCCTTAGAAAATGTAAAAAGTTTAACAACGGACAGTAGGAGGCTGAGGCAGTAAAGCAAAGATTACGATCGGGTGTGTCTTGGCACTCAGCGAGGAGCACACCTTCACCTTCGGGGAGAACCCTTCAATACCTTTGCCATTACATCAGCTTGTTGCATACTCATAGACCCTTATGCATATCCATATTTTCCCATAAACTGGTTTATACATTCCAGGCACTATTTTGCATGGCCCCTCCTTGGGTTCCCTGTTTAGAGCATGTGTGTTTCTTGGCTGTGGCTTTGGCTCCTTCTCCTTATCACTTCCAGTCTGAGCCTTGGTCCACACTTCCCTTCAGACTGCAGATGCTGATAGCTGGCATACCAACAGCAGTGTCCTTGTGACACGTTACTGGATGTTATCCCGACCAAACAAACAGTTCACTTATAACTATATCAGCTACCACTACTATTCTGTCTAATTTTTTTGTTAATAGCAGAATAAAAGCAAAGTTATTTTAACATTATGCATATAGCATTCATCTTAGTATTTGTGAAAAGCCAACAATATGATATGTATTTATAACAACAGCAATGGGATGCATTCAAAGAAATTTTTGGAGGCCTGTGACCATGAAAGAATAATTGCAGGAATGGGATGTTCCCCAAACGACCAACCGGGACCCTCAAAAGAACCCTACGCCAGTGAAAATGAACTCTGAGAAGTGATTGAAACATGCAGAAAATTCAGGGAATGTTTAGCATATAGGAATGGGTTTGGGGAAATGTATCGGATATGCAAAAGGTACATGGATTAAAGCTGGTCTGTCAGCAAGGTGTGGTGTGTGTAATTGGGAGTTATGCCCCGCATGCCTGGGGATGAAATAAAGAAATGCCAATTCTAATATTGAAATTACAGTGTTAGAGAGCTTAATTCCCCATTTTCAGTGACAACAGGACAAACTCCTCACATCAGCTCGAGGCTGGGAGCTTGGACACTTCAAGGGCAGCATGGCAGAAGGTCCAGCCCTGTGTGATGGCTCAGGAAAAGAGGCAGGAAGGAAAGCTGGGAAGAATCCTTGTGGGCAGGGAGGAGCAGCAGCCAGAGGGCAAAGCAACCAAAGCTGTTCCCTTGTGCAAAGACTCCTGGCTGGAGCTGGACAAGAGGCTGGGAGTGATAACTGCTGCCTGGGCAGTTGTGGGGGTTACCTGAGGTGCAGAGCCCCTGGGCAGAGCTTGTGGGGCACACAGCTGAGCTCCCTGCCAGGCAGCTCCTGTGCCAGCAGAGCCCAGGCAGGATTTGGTGTCAGGTGCCCCTGCTCAGGGCACAGGTGGGAACTGAGACTCCAGGAAGCAGCCAGGACAGCTCAGCAGGCAGGAAAATGAAGTCCACACAGTTCCTTTTTTTTGTTCTTTCCACTTTATAGTATATATGTTATCGTTTATTTATAGGCAGATCACTTCACTATTTACAGTACATGAGCGTAGAGATTCTACAGTCTTTTTGATGTAAACAAGAAACTCCACGGCAGGGGAGTCTGGAAAAAGAAGCCAGTTCTGAAGTATTTACACAATTTAAAATAGAACTTTTATACCCACTGGATAGATATAGAGAATACATTGAGCGATTTGGTTAAATTATCTATGAAACTATAGAATCTGACAATGTAAAAATACAAGAAAACGTTCTCTCATTTTAGAAGGTAGACAGTTAAATCACACTAGAAATAAATCTCTTTTCTTTTTTTAAAAATAATAACAATAATAATAAAGGAAAGGCATAAGAATCCATGCCATCTCTTAAGGTTAAAGTATATTACATAAATAAGGACACAACAGAACGGAACTGGGGGAAAAATTAAGTGAAATATAAAAAAAACACTACCAATTAAAAAAAAATACTAAAAACTTGATTCTTAATCATAGAGGGATCAATTCTGCTGCTTTTACTTACTCTGCAAGTAGAAAATTGCAGAGTTAAGTAGTGCTTACTCAGCATGAGCAACAGAGGCAGAATTGGCCCCTAATAATTATGAGCAGTGTCCTTTTACATTAAAAAAAAAGAAGAAAACCACAGAATTTAGCTTTTTTATATAAATAACAAAGCAGATGTGCCCCTTTTTAGGTGAAATTCTTACACCTTTCTCAGGAAATGCATCAATTGAACCGTTCTCTCTCTTTCTCACATGCACTCACACACTCTCTCCCCAGCTCCTGCTGCTGCCCCTGGCCCCGGGGAGGGCGAGGGAAGAGGAATGAAACCCCAAAATGAAACCCCAAAATGAAACACCAAGGCTGCATTTGGCTCTGTATTGCTTGAGATTGTCAGGGATGGACTTAGAACAGAACGGGCGTCGGGTTCAGCTCCAACACCGGTACCTCAGGACCCAGCAGACCTCCAGAAAGAAAAAAAAAATCCCCCAAAAAAGGAGAAAACCGTGTAGATCTGCAATCGCAAAACTCATTTGCACGGCGCAGAGCTGAGGTCAGACCCAGGACTGCAGCAAGGTGACTGAGCTGCTGCTTCCTGAAGGATGTGCAGCCCAGGCAGCTGTGCTGAGGAAATGAGAGAAACCTTTGCTTTGGGGCAGCATCCACCCTAAAACCCGGGATTGTCCTCTGCATTCAGCCCACACACTCAGAAACGTTTGCTCCTCCCTGCGGAGCCTCAGGGACACGCTGGATTCCAGCCAGAAACCTGCTGCCCCGCCCTGAACAACGAGTTTTTCTGGGGCAAACCTGTGCAAAACAAGCAAAGGGGCATTTTATCAGAAAACTCTTCACACATTCAGCATTTGCCCACAGCACCTGCAGGAAACGGCCGGGGGACGTTCTATACTTACACAGTTTTAAAAAAATAAATCTCCTCCTGACTTATTGCCTACCAGAATAAACCCTTTTGCTCTCAGTTTCTCCTGCCCATCCCACAGCCCCAGCCCTTGTGAGGGGTCCCACAGGCTGGGTGGGATGGAAAGGCAATCCTTGGGAAAGGGGGGATCCCCCGTCCCTGGCAGCTCCTGCAAAGCTCTGGGCACCTCTGGCTTCCCTGGCAGCAGTGCCTGGGCATTGCTTTGCTCCTGCCCCATTTCCCTGTCAGCATCCAAACCTTAGGCAGCTCAGGAGGGAGCTCTCACCTGCCCCTGTGCCCGACCCATCTTCCTGCAGACTCGAGCACTGTGAGCTAAAGACACCTTTAGAGTAAAAAAAACAAAAAACAAAAAACAAAAAAACCCACAAAATTAAAAAAAAAAAATCAAGTGGAAATTTATTTTTCACCCAGTCCTAAAAGGTGGGGGAAGCCCCAGGGCAGGCAGCACACAGCCCAAGGGGCTCTGAGCATAGTGCATAAGTCTGGAAAAGAAAGATTTTTTTGGGGGAGGAGGGAAAACAAACCATCCCAGGTGAAAGGAAAAAAAGTAAAGACCCAAAAAAAAAAAAACAAAAAAAAAAAGAAAAGAAAACTCAACCCCACTTATAGGCTTCAGGCACCACAAAGACCACTTATTGCATCTCTTCCTACCCTAGGGCTGCAGTACTGATGAGCTCTGTGCAGGACCAGCCCTCCCCTTCCCCAGCACCAGCCTCGGGACCCAGCAGCAGGGCTGGGGCCGACCCAGGGCACCCAGCCACAGGAAAACACCGGGAAATTCTGGGCCTGGCTCTGCCAAAACCAGTGCTTGGGAAGTGACTGAGTGATCCCCTGGCGTGGGCTGGAGCCCCCCAGCTCTGCACTAACCCTTCCCTCCACCACCCTTGATGCATCCCCAGCAGGGCCCAGCCGTGGGTGCCCCCAGCTGAGTGGGAGATGGAAGAATTCCACTTATTTGCTTTTCTTTTTTTTTTTTTTTTCTTTTTCTTTCTCTTTTTCTTTTTTTTTTTTTTTTGTTGGTTTTTTTCTTTTGGATTGATCGTTTTCTGAAAAACATCAGCACAGCACAGGACAGTACTACCCACCCTAAATGTGTCGCTATATACATTCTACATAAGCTCTATAGCAATCACATGTAAACATCATCATCATCATCGTGAGGAAATACTAGGACAGAAAAAGGCAAAGCTACAATGAGGCAATTGCCAATAGCAGATGCTCAGTCTCGGCCAGAGCTGCTCGTGGTCGCTAAGGTGGGATGAGAACCGTGGGATTTGGGGTGGGAGAGGTGCCAGATTTCGCTGCTGAGGCTGGAATGGCACAAGGACTGTTCCCTGGCAGTGCTCGTCACCGGCGGCGGGGCGGGGACCCCGCGGTGGCCTCCGGGCCCCGGCGCTGCCGGGCTGGGTGTTGTCAGAACCACGGCTCTCCCGAGGGAACAGCCAGGGAACTGTGCTGGTGTCGGCATTGCTGCTCCTGCCAGAGCCCAGCTGCGCTCCAGGGGCCGACCCTGGCAGGGCTCCGGCTCCTGGCGTCACATCTTGTGCCATTTCCGAGGCTTTGGTCGCTCTCCCTGCAGGACGGAACATACCCAGGGAACCGGGGAGAGAACCCCCAGGCCACGGGGAGGGGAGGCCCCAGGAGACTCTAATCTATCTATTGGCAGAGTTAAGGCTATAATATTCTATCTACAGAGGATGGCTGAATCCCTAGTGGTCTCTGGGGCTCAAAAATAAAAGGAGAAGGTGGCAATGGCTTGAGGAGCAGCGAGGTTCCCGCTCCCTTGGGAAAACAGTGCCTCTGGCCGGCTGGTGGTGGGCTTTGCTGCGGCCGGTGGGGGGCTGTGTCCCCTTCCCACCACACCCACACATGGAGGGCAAGTCCACAAGTTCATTTTCCACTTAGATGCAGCGCCGAGGGCCCTTGGCCAGAGGCAGAGCTGTGCCCCGGGGCGCTGGACGGATCCAGGTGCTGGGACGTGTATGGCTTATCAGCTACGGGGCAGGGTGCTGGGGGTGCTCAGTGTGCCCACTCCGCCTCCCTGGGCTTGGGGCTGGACTTTGGGCTGGATTTGGGGCTGGGCTTCAGGCTGGATTTGGGGCTGGCTGCCCAGTGGGAAGCACAGACAGGTCTCCTTGCCCCGCTTGCTTTGCAGGGTGTGGAAGCGAGTGTGGATCAAGCCACAGGGCCTGGCCAGTCTCCCAGCCATCCAAGGAGCTGGAGAGGAGCCAGCTCCTCCACACGGACTGGAGACATCCATCTCCCTCCCAGGCTGTGGCAGCAGGACCCAGCAGGTCAGGCCTGGCTGGCTGCAGCCCCCAGCCCCTCTCTGGAGGCTCCAAAGGCAGCGGAGGCCGGAGCAGCGCTGGCTGCAGGCAGTGCATCCCTCTCCCACCCTCTGCAGCCTGCAAAGCTGCATCCATCACCCACCAGGACCCAGCCCAGCACGGGGGTGATGCTGGGGGCTCAGGCCACGCCAGCACGA